AGAACAAATCAGTTTATTCACAGATTATTTAGGTAAAATGTGGAAAACATTTGATTCCTCACGTTAACAGAACAAATTAATTAATCCACAGATTATCTAGATAAAATACTGAAAACTTTTGATCCCTTATGTTAACAGAACAAATCAATCTACAGATTAGTTAGATAAAATACTGAAAACTTTTGATTCCTCACGTTAACAGAACAAATTAATTAATCCACAGATTAGCTAGATAAAATACTGAAAACTTTTGATCCCTTATGTTAACAGAACAAATCAATCCACAGATTAGTTAGATAAAATACTGAAAACTTTTGATTCCTCACGTTAACAGAACAAATTAGTTAATCCACAGATTATCTAGATAAAATATTGAAAACTTTTGATTCCTCACGTTAAATAGAACAAATCAATCCACAGATTAGCTAAGTAATGTGCACATTAACAACTTTCGAGCTTTACCTGTAACACATACACACACACACACATATATATATCTGTATTTCTTTAATAGAACACGTGGGTCTTTCTCAACTTGCCTCATTGTCCAGCAATAAAACTTTCTCGAGCGTAACGACCGCTAATATAACGAGCATCCTTATTTGCTTGTGTCTTTCTCTTTCTCCTCTTCTTCTTCTTCTTCTTCTTCTTCTTCTTCTTCTTCGTCTTCTTCTTCTTCTTCTTCAATCCTTTACTCTACACATAGATAAATATATGTATATGTATACGTATGTAATACTTACTTTCTTACTTACTTACTTACTTACTTACTTACTTACTTACTTACTTACTTACTACTCTACTCATATAACAACAAGTGGATGGACGAGCAACGAGATAGAAACCCCCTCTAGCATGAGGTGTTTATGAGTTTATTTATCGTTCGTTTATCGTTCAGATCCTAGTATGGCTACCGTATTTGTCGCTTCTGATACCTTTGATCGTGTGTTTTTTATTTATGTTTTTTCTTTTTTACTAATTTACTATATTCTCCTTTTTTTGAAACTCTTATAATGTGTAACTTTTTTACTTGATAAATAATAATTAATACGAATATGATTTGTCTAGTGAAATGTATTATAATTATAGCAGTTGTTTAACGTTAAGTCTATCGATAATTTTTAATTAAACATAAATAATTAATACGAATAAGATTTGTAATCGTGAAATATATTATAATTGAATCTATCGATACACTTTTATATTGTACCTATTTCTTGTGATCGAATGATTAATTTAAAAAAAAAAAACATATATGTTTTAATATAGAATGTTGTTTTAATCCAATTGGATAAGGAATACAATATTTGTTTTGTTTTTATTTTAGAAATTATAATAGTATACATTTTTATACGTTTTCAGTGTACTTTTTTTTTAGTATAAATTATAGGACGCACAGGTAATAGAGATTTAATATTTATTGATTATTAATTATAACGAGTTAATTATTTTCGTTATATATTATATTTAATATATTATAATTACTATTTTTCTCTAAATTTTGTTTCTAAATTTGGGTTCCTTTGTTAATCGTTTTTATTTATTTGTCTTTCTTTTGTAAAAGAAACGAAAACGTATTATTATTAGAAGAAAGATAGATAAAAAGAAAGAAAGAAAGACATTGGTTGAAAAGTCATAGACGCATAGAAAATTTCTCATAGAAGAAATAATATTATAAAATGCGGTTAATGCGCGAAAGTTTCGAACCAGTTAGAATACGAGGATTCCGATTGGACGCGGCGGTGTTTGGCATCAAGCCGCTCTGTCATTACTATGATTCTCCGACAATGACACACGACTTTCGCCATCATTGTGAAGAACACGAAATTTTTTACCTTTCCGAACAATATTCATCCCATCTCCACCCCCCACCCTGACAAATTTGCGTCAATATTTTGTCTACACATTCAAAATCAAGAGATATTTAATATTATAAATTAAATAATTATATTTTATTTTATTTTATTTTCAATTTAAAGTTCTAATATATATATCTACGTATACTATAATAAAATCTAATAAAAAATAAAAATTGTATTTTAGTTTTCATATAAGAAACATCATACATATTATTATAATATGCATTTAATAATATAATATTAAAAAAAAACTCACACACATATATAAAATAATTTTGTATTTTAAATCATGGATCATCAGAGAAATTTACGTTGAAAGTTATTTAAATGATTTTCATTGAAATTAATCATGTTTTAAGCATGTTTCACGAGTCAACGATATATTAAAGAATGTTAAACACGTGACATGTATCCAAAGCTCGCCATAACACATACACACATACACACACATATAGATATACATACTTTTTATATACATACACATAGAAATAGGAGGATGAAGGTACGAAGGTACGAAGGTACGTGAGGTTAGAAAAGGTTTTCCTTATTTTTTTTCTTTTTTTGTTTTTTTTTTTAACAAATACGACAAATGTGCCAGCCGCACGCAATTCAGTTCTATGGTGTTAGTGCACGAAGGTGCATAAGGTTTCATCGTAAAGTAGACTTTAACTCGAGTTAGGGGATGAGAACGGATTTCTCGTAGGGCGCACGTTTACTATAGTTGAATATCTCGAACTTTTGAACATAATGATAATCCACACGGTTGGATATATGCAATTTGTTTCTATGCGCACTATGCATGTCCCTTGTAAAACGTTTACGAGTATAAACGTTAGGGGAATCCTGAATTTTGTTCAATAAATTATGCTTTAACAAATTGTTTCCTTTTAATATTACGATTTTTCGTTTCTTCCCTACATTTTATTTATCAGTTAGAACTTAACTTTCATATGTTACAAATGTAAAATATATATGTGTGAAGAAGATTAAATAAGATTTATATTTTTTTTTTATGGTTTTCTTTGTTTTGGTTATTTTAACAAAGTCATGTTTATAGTTTTCACGACATCAAATGTTGTTTAACGATCTACTATATGCATTTCTCTATATATCTTTATATGTTTATATTATTTTATATTTAAATTCTTTAAACGACATATTTTATAATAATTTATAGCTCGTAAAATTTTATAAGGCAATATAAAGATATATACGTATACACATTTTTATTATTTAGAAAAGTAATATGAAATCTCTTCACTAACGAAATAGAAATTGATCTGAATATATTCCGATATAATATAAATAATCTCCTCATTAAAAAAAGTATGCCGATAATTATGATTATTGATACGAGTCAACAAAAATTATACGTTCATTTATTTTTGATAATATAAAAATAATTTGTCCATTTTTTTTCGAGAACAAATCGTACAATTGATTTTTCCAAATAATTATTAATATTATTATTCTTCCTTTTCAACTTGTTGTTAATTAACGTTCATATAGTTGCAATAAAAAACAAAAAAAAAGGTATACTAACCTCGAGATAACAATTTATATATTTTAAACAATCTAGACCATTATTTTCCAACGCGATTTCCTAAAAAAAAAAAAAAGAAAATCTAAGCAAAATACGAATATGGTGATATAAAATAAAAACAAAAAGAAGGAACAAACAAAAATACCCCATTAAGATAATTACAGGAAGTAAGTGAGCGAGTAAAAGGGGCGAGGGGGATGGCGGGGAGGGGGAAGGAATTGGTTTGAACAAAAAAAAAAGGGAAAATAGGATTTATAAAGAAACGAAAGGGGAAAAAAAACTTGCTTTAGAGTAGAGACGCGGATTTACGTTCGCCAGTTCTCGTATGAACGATCATTAATCTTAGCTGATGCGAGTTAGCCTGATCTCGATCCTAGGATTCAGTTTCAGCTATCGTTTCCTTAGATCACTCGTCCAAGGACGAGTTCCTTTGTCGTCAGGGAGTTTCCTTTTCTACGTTTCTTTCTATGTGTGTAGTATATAATATAATACGTATTTATTACTATATATATATATATATATATATATATATATATTTATTTATATAGGGTGAGACATTTCAAACAGTCAGTCAGATATAATTTTATTTGTTTATTCATTTATGAAAATGTCTTTTTTATTTGGTTATCAGATACTAGCATGATTCTATGTTAATAATTTGTTTATTAATTTTTTTTTGTGAGTGAACACGTAGAAAATACGCAAAGGTTGACCTAACTTGATTGATTCTATGTTTAATAGTTCATTTATTTTATTTTTATTTTTTTTTGCTAAGTGGACACGTAGAAGATACGAAAAGGTGGACCCAGCTTTTCTTTTTTCTTTTCATATGATGATAATAATATTCTTTTTTTTATATATCCGATATATAGGGTGGGTGTGTATTTTAAACGTACGTTTAAACTAGGATAAAGATCATTATTATTATTATTCTTTTTACATAAAAAAAATATTATTAAATTAAATCATATATTAGACATACATTACACATAATACGCTAACGTTATAATACAATTACAAAAAAAAAGGTATAACAAAAGTATATAAAATAATAAAAATAAAAGTAAATTTTTCTATCATTCAAACACAGATTATTAACTTTCCTATCGATCGAATAATAGAGAATTCAAGTTCGAAGGATTGTTTTTTCAATGTTACACCCGTTATAAATAGTAGCACGTGGTTAGATCCCCCCAGCCCCCTCCTCCTCCTCGATTACTCGTTCGAGTAACTTGGTACGATCTTTCTTGATCCTCGAAGTGAACTGACGGATCGATTTCATTATCCTTCATGACCGAACTCGTACATCTTTCCTCTCTCTCCCTCTCTCACTCACTCTCTTTTTCTATACCTCTTTTCATACATTAAAGAAACTATATATATATAACAAAAACAACAGGTAAAACAACAACAACAACAACAACAAGAACCTCTTCTTCTTCCTCCTTTCGTTTACATATAAAGAAAGAATGAAAGAAAGATACTACTAGGTACTAGATACACACACACACACACACATGCATTGATAATGATTCAGGAATGAACAGCCATATCATTCGTCAAGGCGTCAAGAATAATCTCGTTCTACTCTGTTGCAGATTTCCTTTACCGGCACAGTGTTACCATCGATAACGTTACTACCGAGGTTGAGATATTGGACACTTCCAGGTGCGAGGTAAGAAGTTTCCAACTAAATTTATAATATTTTTGTTAAATATTCTCATACAATGCACAATCGTTTTTATATTCTTTTTCTTGTTTTTCTTTTTCTTTCTTTCTTCTCTCTTTCTCTCTTATTATTCAATTTATTTTTCCTTTTCTATCTTTAATCGCGAATTAGGGGGTGGGTGAATGAATCTTCGAAGAAAGTTACCAAAGATAGAAAGTTTGTGAAAATGTGTATTGTTTTTTTTCTTCTTTTCCTTTTTATTTTCTTTTCTTTTCCCATTAAACACTCACGACTTTGATTCAGTCAATTAATTTCGTTACGGTTTTCTCGTACTTTTACTCAAAGATATTATACATTTCTTTTTCAATTATTCCTTTAATAAATTATATTTATTATGTATTTGTGTTATTCGAGTAGATTCGAAACGAGAACAGAATTCATTCATTTTTCCCTTTCCCCCCTTCCACCCCTTCCCCCCCCCCGCTCGGTTGGTCAGTGATATTTAAGAACGTTTCTCGGAAGAGGGGGAAAAGGGGGGGAAAAGGAGGATGATTTCGTTTGGTTCGATTTCTCTTGTTGATTCATTTAATTATGCGATAATTAAAAGCGTTAGAAAAGAAAAGAAAAAACAAATAAATCAATCAAGTTTTCAACGATTATATTGAATACGTTCGGAATGTAATTGAATTTTTTCGATGGTAAATAAAAAAGGAAAGATATTTTTGTTTTTGGTTTATATTTAAAACACGACAAGATTTGAACTCGCGTGTATGAATTATTCGTATAATTAATATATAAAATAATTTGATAAAATTTAATATATAACATTTTATAGACGATTAATGGAAATATTTTTTGTGCGCAAAAAAACGTAATTACATTTCGAATTATCGATTTTATTTAGAAAATCTAAAATTTCTCGTTTTAATGATCACATACCATGTTCGTATTTGCAAACGCAAACAAGAAAATGAATAAATAAATAAATAAATAAATAAATATGTGATATTCCAAAAGAGAATAATAAGAAGAATTAATAATTATAGTGAGTTAAGTAACACGAGTTTTGGGAGTGGATGTCCACCACGAATTCGAGGTGCACCGACCTCGAAAAAGTCCGGTACTACGAGTCTCGTAAACTCTCTCTCTCTCTCTCTCTCTTTCTCTCTTTTTTTTTTTTCGAGAAGAGAGAGACGAATTCAACTCGCATCTTGGGTACTACCTGACGTGGTAAGATCTCTCTCTCTCTCTCTCTTTCTTTTTTTGCAGACTACCAGTCTAAATATATCTTCTTTCAACGGTCTTGAAGAAGGATGTGGAATGAGTAAGAAAGAAAGAAAGAAAGAAAGAAAGAAAGACTTGTAGTAGGAATGGTGGTAGTGGTGGTGGTAGGGTGGGAGGGGGGAGGGAGAAGACTCGAAAGAAACCCTTAAGGGTCCAACGTCCGTCATATGGGGGCCAAACGTGCGGAGCGAAATAACGAGCACAAGATGTACGCGAATCTAAGTGTATATGCAACAGAGTGAGTGTGTACGTGAGAGAGAAAGAAAGAAAGAGAGAGAGAGAGAGAGAGAGAGAGAGATTTTGTATTTATTATTTTTTATGTAAAAGAAATTCTTCTTCTTTATTATTTTTTATTTATTTTTATTATTTAACTGGGTACGTACATTCGATCAATTCTCCACTTTACAACAGGACACTCTATTCTCATCCTTGTCTATTTTTTTTTTCTTCTTCTATCATTTTCTTCTTCTTTATTGTTTTTTATTTAAAAGAAATATTTTTCGTTCTTCTTCTTTATTATTTTTTATTTATTTTTATTATTTAATTGGGTACGTACAATCGGTCAATTCTTCACTTTCAAACAGGACACTCTATTCTCATCCTTGTCTATTTTTTTTCTTCTTCTATTATTTTCTTCTTCTTTATTGTTTTTTATGTAAAAGAAATATTTTTTGTTCTTTTTCTTTATTAATTTTTATTTATTTTTATTATTTAATTGGGTACGTACACTCGGTCAATTCTCCACTTTCCAGCAGGACATCTATTCTCTATTTCTATTCTCATCTTTGGCTGTTTATTTTTGTATTTTTTTATTATTTTCTTCTTCTCCTTCTTTGTCTCTCTTCTTTATTATTTATTATTTAATTGAGTACGTACATTCAATCAATTCTCCACTTTCCAGCAGAATATTCTATTCTCATCCTTGTCTATTTCTTTTTTTTTTTTTTCTATTATTTTCTTCTTCTATATTTATTATATTCTTTTTATATATTCTTATTATATTCTTTCTCTTCTTTATTATTTATTATTTTTTATTTATTTTTATTATTTAACTGGGGGTACGCGTACAATCGGTCAATTCTCCACTTTCCAACAGGACACTCTATTCTCATCCTTGTCTGTTCTTTTTATATTTTTTTATTATTTTCTTCTTCTTCTTCTTCTTCTTCTTCTACTTCATCTTTTGCAAGAGAGTTCTTGGTTTCTTGTGTTCCCCTTTAGCGTCTCCAGGTAGGTAGGTAGGTAGGTAGGTAGGTAGGTAGGTAGGCAGCAGCTCCTGTTCGACTCGGTAAAACTCGATTATCATTCCCCTTCTTCCCTTCTTAACCCCCCTTCCTCCCTACCTCCACCCCACAGGTAGTAGCATTCGCTCTCCGAAAGAACTGGTCCTCGGACAGGATTTATCACGGGGCCCCGTGTTGTATCCTTGCGATACTTACGTCGAGCTAAGCGTTACCATTTTTCATTATCGCCAAATCTATCATATTTTTTTTTCTTTTTTGTTTTTTTTTTCCTCATTTATAATGTTAAACGTTATATTTAGCATAATCCTCATAAGAATGACAGCCAAGTCGTCGTCGTCGAGATCTGTGTTCTATTATAGTATTATAATGTCTGTCTGTCTGTCTGTCTGTCTGTCTGTCAATCTTCTTTCCATCATTTATGGACAATGTTATTTTTTTTTTTTTTTTAATTTTTTTTCGATAGAAGAGAGATCAATTTATCGAATGAAAAATAATAATGGAAGAAAGGAATAGGATATAATAAAAATGTATCTATGTAAATTGTATGTGTATCGAGTTGGAACGATTAATTGATTATAAATGTCATCTATGGGAAATATTGATTAGGATTTTTTTTATATATGTTATTAGTTATTAATTGAAAGAAAGATTGACCTGGATGAACGAATTGAATATTTAAACTAAAATTGTAGGTATGTTTATATGTTAAAATATAAATGATTTAAAATATGATTAAATTGGGACATATTGATACACTATTATATTTTGTATTCATTATTTCTCAATATTAATAATAACAAATGAAATATATGAAATAACATTTAACTGTTTGATAATAGAAATAAATATATAAAAATGAAATACAAATTTTATAATTAAAATATAAATCACAAAAATAATATAGAAACACCCACAATTATATTATATATATATATAATCAGGTTTTTATTGCACAACTTACATAATTTTTTACAATGTCTTATCATTATTTCACTTATATTTATCTCACATTTTTTGGTTTATTCTCAACTTAACTCTCCTCTGCTAATAATTATCAACAATCTTAAAATTAAACTATCCCCACAGTTATATTATATTATACCAATCTTCGAACACTATCTAAAGAAAGAAAAGAAAAAATACATATATAGATAGAAAGATATTGTATAATAAACAAAATCTTTCAATTAATTCGATAATTCATGTGACATAAAGGTAGATAATAATTTATTATAGATAAATTGAAAAAAAAAATAGGTTTTCTCAATGTAGCAAAATAAAAAGGATATAATATTATTCACGTTTAGAATTTCAATGAGTTAAGTTACGATTTCTTCACCGTTCGGTAAGACAGGTGAAGTCAACGTATTCCTTCGCGTTGTTTCTTTTGTTTTTGTTGTTGTTGTTGTTGTTGTTGTTGTTGTTGTACACGCCTGCTTCCTCATCGGAGTGAGTGTACGCCTTTTCCGGCGATCGTTGTGCTTCGCCTAGTTTCGAATTTTAAAATCTGATGATCGTTTTATTCAATTCAAATGCATACAACACGACATAACGGATTTCATTCTAGGATTTTATATCTACATTACCTATCAAAAGTTATCGTTCGTTTCAATTATTTTTCTCTCTTTTTATTGAAAATATTGTTCTACGCGTTTTTCTTGTCGAGGATTTTTTTGTTGTTTTATTGTCTAATAAAATTTATATTTCAAATATCGTATTAATTGTTATGTGTATAATTTAAGTTAAGTTTTTTATTATTTTAAACATAATTCGATTTAACGTTAAACTAAAAACACGTATAAAATATATTATCGATGATATTATTTCTTTTATTATTTATTCTTATTCTTTTTTTTTTTTTCTTTTATATATTTTTATTTGGTAGAATCAAATTTTTAACAAATTGAATTTTATTTAATAAGATTTATATTATTTTCACAAAATTATGCATTGTTCAATATACTCTCGTTACAATTTTTAAACATTTATCGTCAATATTTAAAACAACGTTCGTAATAAACATTTTTATAACTCGATGAAAAAAAAAAGAATTAAAAAGGTCCTGTTATAGTTTGAATCGAAACTTTTTGCTCGTAGTGTATATAAAATAGTTATTTACTCGTATGTGTTGACCATAGCAAGGATTTCCGTTCGCAAAGTATTCCAACAAACTTTGTTGCAATCTTACGGAAGAAGAAACGGGTTAAGGAAGGTCAAGTTGAACGAGAGCAAACTTGATTTATGTATGTATGTATGTATGTACATATGTATATATGTATATAGGGTCTTTCAACTCCTTCGGAATTCTCGTGGTTATGTTTTTGATCTTTAGATCGTAAATCTAAATGATCTAAGATATAGTATCATTATCTAATATTATCTTTTAGTTTACCAAATTCATCAAATATTATTTTTCTTAACTATCATCTCATATTATTATATGAATTATTAAAAGTTCGTATTTCGTAGTTGTTGCAC